AATTCAATCCAGGAAGAAGGAAAGGGAGGACGAGAAGAAGGAATGGAGTGGGGAACAGGAGGAGGGAAATTTATTTTAAAGCAATTTTCTAATTTAGAACCAGGACTGGGAAAGTCAATAAGCTGCTACTTCTGTGGCAGAAAATAATCCATTTTAACAACCCAATCAATTGAAGTGTTTCTTGTCTCCTTCAGTTACTTCTTGAAGACATTATTTTTTTTTCATGCACCGCTAGACCCAAATAAACCTTAGTCACATATTTCCTTATCAGATTAGCTGGACTCTGAGGGACACAAGGCAAGTAAATTCTAGTCACTACCAGGAACCCAGGAGTACACTTTCACACACTCAGCACAGACATTCATTGACTAGTAGAGAATCTTGGTCAATCAAGGTACTCGATAGAGACGTCACATAGGGTATAAAAGTGACATTGCAATCAACAGGGAAAAGGCAAATTATTCAATAAATGGTACGAGGACAAGGAGGTATCCACCTGGAAAACATTAAAATAAATCCACATGCCATTCCTTGAACGAACCAAAATAAACTCTAGAGAGGAAGCATATTTCAATGTAAATGATAAGATCATAAAGTATTAAAAGAAAACAAAAGCATTTCACTATGAAGTTTGCAAAGACCTTTATATGAGTCAGAACAGATACTATAAAAAAGATAAATTTAACTGCATTGAATTTTTTTGTTTGTTTGTTTTGGTTTTTTTGGTACCGGGGATTGTACTCGGGACCTTTTGCTTGCAAGGCAGGCAGCAGAACCACTGAGCTAAATCCCCAGCCCTACGTTAAATTTTTTTAATCTACAAAGTGAAGAAAAAGAGATTAGCAATGTAGGACAACAGACAGGCAAAAAATATTTGCAGCTCATATCATAGACATTGAGGTAAGCTCCTGATGCAGTAGTCCTGCTTAGCCACAGAGTTCCAAGACTGCCCATGAATGTCTGAAACCGTGGCTAGTACTCAACCCCATTCCCACTAGGGTTTTTTCCTGTACATATGTATCTATGATTAAGTTTAATTTCTACGTTGGGCACACTAAAGTGTTAATAACTAATAAGACATAGAACAATTATAACTATATACTATAATTAAAGTGATATAAATGTGGTTTCTTGAATAAATCAAAATGAGTAATATTTTCAGTCTGCAAATAACTGAAACCATGGAAAGCGAAACCATGGACAAGGGGGCTACTATACATAAAGACTTGCAAGTGCTGGTGTGGTGGTGCACCCCCACAATCCCAACATTCTGCAAGGAGGAGGCAGGAGGATTGCAAGTTCAAGTCCAGCCTGGGCAACTTTGTGGCTTAGTGAAAGACGTGTCTCAAAAAAATAAATAAATGAAAGTGAAAAACAGACTAGGGATGTAACTCAGTGCTAAGGTCCTGGCTTGAATCCTCAGTCCTGGGTGGGTGTGGGGCGGGGTGGGGGGGGGGACTTACTCAAATGAAAGGAAATAAAACTAAACCTTAAAGTGGCCTTGCTTGACAGCTATCTATGAAGATATTACAGGACTTCTTAACTTAACCTGCCCAAACACTGCCTAGAGGCATTATTAACACCAGACTCTGATTGAGAAGGTCCTGGTAGGGCCTGGGAATTTGTAGTTCTAACAAGTTCCTGGTGACGTTTCTGCTGCAGACCCACCAACACTTGCATAGCAGGCATCACTGCCAGAGCTACTTTGTTGCATTGGTCAACAGTCCTGATTTAAGATTTTTACATAAATCTCTAGAGTTCTGAAAGTGTGAAATATTGGGCCACACAGGGCCTTCACTCTTCCTTTGCAATTTGTGACCAGACTTGAGCAAAGATTACCCCTTTTGTACACTTTCAGGTTCTAATATTCTCATCACTCTCTTGTCGCAGGCCCATTTGTTATAGAGCTAGTAATGCAGTCCATCCTCTAGCCTTCTGTTTTGTTGGTGGACATTTGAGATTGTAACCCCTGCCCTGGCCATAGTGAGCATTACCAACGGAGACCTCAGGCTCTTCTACTTCCTTCAAGGTTTTCCCCTGATGTTACTCTTCTTCCTCCCTCCAAATCCAGGAAGTCAGTGATTTCTTACTCCCTCAAAAAAGAAAGGAATGGGATCATCTTAGTCACACTAAATTATTGGTGATTTAATATATACTTCAGGGGAAAAATAGGAATTGGTTAGTCTTCCTAAATTCTGGCATTCCAGCCATTTTGGCACTTGGATGAACGAGAGACATTTTGGAGCAAAAGACTGTTGTCTCAGACCATTCCAATCACATCTTGTGGACAATTACTCTACTTTATGTCAGCCAGCTACAGTCTTTGCCAAAATGATCAGAACAGCTGTTCCTTTCTGCTACTCAGGCTAGTGGCTTGCCAGGGAATCCCTGCCCTAGTTGAGTTCTTCCTCGGGAAAATATTTATAAAATTCGTTCCTATTCTAGGATGGGATGCCCTGTGTGTTTTAGCCTATCAGCAGTTTCATTTGTGCCAAGAGTGCAGTATGGGAAGGAAAAAGAGATAGACAGAAAGGGAAGGAGGGAAGGAAGGCAGGAGGGAGGGAGGGAGGGAGGGAGGGAGGAAGGAAGGAAGGAAGGAAGGAAAAAAGGAAGGGAGGAAGGAAGGAAGGAAGGTTGGTTGAACATAAATTTAGCCACCTCCACAGATGGAGAATGTACAGTAAATAGTTTCACTGTGATTTGGAAGGAAGGAAAAAGGGAAGGGAAGGGAAGGAAAAATTTGAAAGTAAACTTAGCCACACCTACAAAGAACAGGAAATAGTTTCACTGTGCTCTTAAATCTTAATCCATGTCCGGGAATTTGTACTGATCGTTCTGGGTGTCTACATTTTGAGAAGAATGATGACACATCAGGAGCAGTCTGAGAAAAGAAATCAAGACAGTGGAAGGCTGGCACCACACCAACAATAAAAGAAGACTAAAGAAGGACTTGGTGGCTCTCATCAGAGGTTTGAATGGCTGTGACCAGGAAGAGGAACCTCAAGGATTAGGTCTTGGCTGTGCCAAAGAGCAAACTAAAACCAATACATAAAATTTGAGAGATAGAGTGGGAGGAGATCTTGGCTCAGGAATTAAATTTAACAGCTCCTGGATAGGCATTGGAGGGAAATGACTTTCCCTTTTGCTAAAAATATCCTGAGAGAGCTGTTTAGCCATCTGTTTGTAATGCTATAGAAAGAATCCTTAGCCTGGTTAGTGGTGGCCTGATTTGATTTTTGTTGGGAGTCTTGAGACTAAATCCCACATTTTATGAGTTTCCACTTGGATATCATAGGGAAAATATACTTGATCCACAAATCCAGATAAGTTCTCTACTTATTCTCTTTGAACTTTGGGTTCAATTACTTCCACGTCATCTTTCAGACCCCATTACCTACACTGCTGAAATGCATGGTTTCTGCAATTTCCTCTTTACCTCCCTGGATGCGCATATACCGTAGCTTTTTGTTGTCAGTGAGCATGTGAAATAGATTTTCACTCAGAGGGTTTTCCCTAAGGGCTCTTGCAAAGAAAATGGCATGGCCAATTGTTTATCCCATGTATAGCCTTTTTCTGTCTCTAGAATATGGCCAACATATCTATGACTCACATTCACAGGACAGAAAGATTGTTCTGGCTTCTGTCTTTACTTCTTCAGGCCAATTGGAGGGTTATTTATAAACATTTATTGATTTGGATTCATAAACCAGAGGGCAAAAAAAAAAAAATCTTGCTGTGCTGGTTGCTATGGAAACTAGCATTTCACACATGTATTCACCAACATTGATGGCTCAGAACGGAAACCCAAGTCTACCTGTGGCTTCCAGCTACATATTTATTCCTTTTGCATTTTTAACTGAAGATCAGTGATTTCCCCCACCAGTTCCAAGTGATAGCGTTGTACTGAGGTAGGAAAATAAAGAAATTTTGTCTTATTATTCCTGGGCTGATCCCTATGCTTCTCGTGGAGGTATTTTCCAGAGAGACATCACTTTCAATCAATTTTGATTGTCAAGAATTAAAATGATTTTACCACCAGTTGAGCTCCCTGCCATGTGTTGAGAGTGATATGGAAGAAATTAGGATTCTATTCTTTATTTTCAGGGAACTTATATTATAGCTGGAGCCCAGGAGTACAAATGTAAAGCAGCAGGCAGGCCACACAAGAAAAAAAATGTAGCTAAGTGCTAAATTCTGCACCACAGAAGATAATAGAAGCAAGGCATGCTGGGTGGAGCACAGGCTGTAGAAGATACGGCCTTGAATAAATTACCTCATTATTTTTGTAACTCATTGAAATGAAAAACCCATCAGTCCATAAGGTTGTTGTAAGGAATGCATAAGAGAATTACATAAAGTGCTCAGAATAATGTCAGATTCATAGCAAGCACTCAGTTAATGGGAATTATTATTTATGTGTTGGAATAATTTTTTGAGATAATAAAGTATGTCTTGTTCTTGCCAGAAAAAGATACTGATTTTACTAGGGGGTGCTAGCTTTTATAATTTTGGCTCTTTTTTAAAAACATAATAAAAACTTGTGAATGTAAATCCAAGTATAAATAAACTACATATTTAAAATTTAAGAAGCTGACAAAATCTAAAAATAGAACACATTGCTTTAGTTTGTAATTGTATATCTCATCTAATATTTCTTCCTACATGTTCAGACTGTATCCTCTTGGATTGCCTCTTCCTACAACGTCACTTTTGTTACATTTTCTATACCACAAATAGAAAGATCATTCACTTGTCCGTCTGTCTAGCAGAGCTCACCGAAATTTTTTTATTATTGTTTTTTTATTGGGATGTATAAACCTTGTGACTTCATATATAGATATACTTGCTATTTATAGTACCGCTACAAGCTTAGGACATACAAACAGAAATTCTGATAAACCGTATTTCATGTGATTTTTTTTTACATCATATCAAAAAGTATATTCTAAAGAAAACTTGGGTTTTGATAGGTAACCATGGGAATCAGATATTTGGCTTACATTCTCCTACATTTGGTGATTGGATGAATTTTCCACAGATGCTCTTCCAGCTCAGTGCATTTCAAGCCTTGTTTCTTTTCCACCACCCACATATTTCCGGTCCTGCAAGAGAGAAATACATTCCTTAATCGATCCCTGGCCCTCCCCAGGAAGTCAACAGAGCCACAGTTGGATTTCTAGAAGCCATTTCTATACCAGAATTCCCATCCCTACAATATGTAGAAGAAACTGCCTACCACATAAATATGTAAACTCAATGCTTTTCCAACTTAACTTGCCTGAAGTTGGATCTCCAAAATGCCCGTAGCCACTTACTGCCACTCAACACTAGAAGAAAGAGAGTTGTCTTGTTAATCAAAGTTAGAGTATCTTGTTTTTGCTCATTTTACAATGAATGTTTCCTGAGTGCATTATTACTAGGGTCCCTGGGAGGGCCTTGAGAATGATAAATGCATAGCAGGGGCCCTGAAGATGAAGCATCAACACCCTCAGGGACATGCTTTCAGTTCTTTCTTTAGGGGGGCAAAGGGACATATTCCACATGAGAACGAATGTAAGCTGCAGCTCTGACGAAGCATAGAGGACTGATGGGGCCTGGGGCAGCTAATCCAACGTGTGCAGGGTCCTAGTCAATAAGGTTCTATGACATCCAGCTCTGGAGGAGCCAGAGAGAAAGGCAGAGAAAGAGCAAGAATGAAAAACTTCTGGCAGGAGAGAGATAACATGAAAGCATTCTAAAAGATGAGTACGAATGAATGCCTAATGAGCCATAGGTATCTGTAGAGGCCCAAAGCAAAACATACAGATTACATCAAGAGACAGAACTCAGGCTGAGGATATTGCTAAGCAGCAGTGCACTTGCCTAGCATGTGTAAAACTCTGTGGTTTTTCCCCAGTACTACAAACAAACCAAAAAGGCAGTACACCTGTGCCAAACGGGTCCTAGATAATAAGACTAGGGGAGTTCTGTTTCCTGAGAATATGCTGTTTGGAATGGGCCATGGATCTGAACCACAGACCACTTGGCTGAAATACCCTTATGATGTTCCACTGGAGAGCAATCTTTGAGGCCTCAAACAAAGGGAGAATATAGGAAAAAAATTGAGGCTGGCAGTTCCATCGGGACGTTGACTCTACTGGAATTGTAAATCAGCATCTTGTCCTTGGAAGTCAAGATGGAAATGACAGAGGCCAGAGAGAAATCATACTCTTATCACTCTCCAGAACATTCCATACTCACAGACACCTCCTAGCCATCACAAGATCATCTGGATGTGTCTCATGGACCACTGCACTGTCTTCCCTGGGGTCATTAGAGAGAGACCAGTGGAGAAACAGGGTCAGCTAGGGAGCACCTCACTATCATGGGCAAAGGGGAATGAAATAAGAAATGGGCCTTCAAAAAGGTGAAAGAATACCTGGTTGGAAAGAGAGGGCAGCAGGGGCCTACAATTATGTCACTTTGAATATTAAAAGAGGAAGTGCCATATTTGTAACCTAAGTCAGTGAAGCAAAATGTATATTGGGCAAACAGGCTGGGATTTTAAATTGCTTGCTTATGTATTCAATAAGTAACTGCTGAATGAGTCTGACATGGTCTCATAGAAATCACCAAAAGATGATTCTGGGAATTAGGTGGAATCAAGTGTGGAAGAAGGAAACAGTTATAACAAGGGCTATTGGAATTATCTAGCCATGACATAATAATAACTTAAACTAGGGAGATATGGTATAGTTGGTACATGAAAGCTCCAAAGAATGGTCTTCCAGTATCCAAGTCCTCTGGTCTATATCGTCCCCTTTCATTCTGACTTTGGGTGTGAGCAATGGAATGCAGGAAAGGGCCTGCAAAAAGCCTGTGCATCTCTTGAACAGTTATTCTTGCTGACTCTTGGAGCTCTGTTATCACACAAGGACAGGCACAAGCTACCTGCTTGCTAGAGGAGGAGAGACCACATGGAGCAGAGCTGAGTCGTCCTAGATCAATCAGCCTCTAACCAGCTTTCTAGTTGAGTGCAAATGCATGAGCAGATCCAACCAAGATCAACTGAGCCCATCCAGTAAGCAGAAATGTCCAGTTAAACCAAGAACAGGTAAAAAAAACTAACAAGTTGTTTAAATATTTTCAGAGTGCTTGTTACTTAGTGCTAAACAATTTATATAAATAATGGGAAAAGTATGGAGAGAAAAGCTTAAGTATGGATATATTTTGAAATATGTTCTTGGAAGACAGAACTACTGGTGATTAAATGAATGATTATCCATCCTCAAACACATGGAATTGAATGCATCAAAATGATTTTAATCTATATATTCATATTCTATGGTCCTAATAAACAGCATATTTTAAGTCGTCATTATATTCATCAGTTTTGCAAGTCCAGGTGAAGTAGAACCAAGAATGCCATTTAACTCTGTGATGCTCACAGAATAAGCAATCTAAAACTTTTATTATAGAGTGAATCTTTTAGTACTTCCAAGGACAGGAGCCAAAAAGGGAGGGGACACAGGAAAGAACCCAGCTTCTCCAAAAGAGAATATTATTGAGATAGAATTACAATTAAAACTTTAGTCCACAGAAATTTGCCTTTAAATCTAATAAAGAGGTTTTGATCCAATATTAGCTTAAGTAAAAGTTACTCCAGAAAATGAAGAAATTGAACAAAGGATCAAGAAAATGTTACTCAATTTCATTTGTGGCTCTGAAAGCTTGGACAAAAGTACGTTTTGGGATTCAGTCTGATCAAATCTTCCTGTATCAGTATGTACCATCAAAGGAGGCTGAAAGAGAGAGATACCTGGTTCTATTACGGTTGACTATTCCATGTCTGAAATGCTTGGGAACAGGAGTGTTTTCGATTTCAGACTTTTTTCAGATTTTTGGAATATTTGTGTATCTTGGGGAATGGACTCAAGTCTAATCACAAGACTCATTTGTGTTTTATTTATACCATATGTACACATAACCTGAAGGTAATATTATACAATATTTTAGATAATTTTGTATATAAAACAAAGTTTGCATACATTGAAACATTAGGCTTGGGGTATCACTTTAATGCTGAAAAATGTTCATATTTTAGAACATTTTGGATTCGAGGTTTTCAAATTAGGTATGCTCAACTAATTTTTTTCTAGAGAAATACTTAGCTTCATCCATGTCTTACATCAGGTTCCGCAGGAAGCAGACTCAGATAGATGTGTGCTTGCAGGAAGTTTATTAGAAAGTGCTCCAGAAAGAATACCTACTAGGAAAGAGAAGAAAGCTAGACTTGACAGAAAGAGCACTGAACTTGTAATACAGTTTTAACAGTCAATCTCACAGAAAAGTTTGAAGTGTGGATGATTCTTCCGAGATATTTTGCATTGAAGATGGCTTATAGTTACTCCAGACCAGTGAGTTAGCAAATGCAGGACTCTGAGTCTGGAGAGGAGAGGGACCTTTGTGATGTGGTTCCCTTCTGCCAAGAGCAATCCTGAGGAAGAACTCAGGTGTAAACCCTGACTAGCAACGCGCACACAGCTGGGGTATTAGAGAGGAAATCTAGGTGCTAACAACAGTGCTCATTACAATTTGTCAAGCAAGGACATCGATATTTTCCTCCCACCTGCCTGAGAAAAGAGTGAGATTAACTCAGATGCCACCATTGCCTGTGCCTTTCCATTGTCATGGGATTAACACCATGCCGTAGCAAGTCAAGAAAATGAGAGGTGAGAAAGCAAAGGTGAGATGAAGAGAAGGGGGAAAGCTGGCAGTGAGCACACAAGAGGAAAAAGAAATGCAGAGATTTTAATTTGTTTCAAATAAGGGGAGAGACCTGAGCATATTAAAGGAATGGGGGGGGCATTACATACAGATACTGAAAATACAGGAGAGAAAAAGCAAAGCGAAAACAAGTGCCAAAAAAAAAAAAAAAAAGAGTTTAGAATTGAGAGTTCACACAGAGATGAGCTTAGAAGGGAACAGAAGAACAACTTTCTTAGGAAAAAAAGGAAAGATGCTACAGAGATAACTGGAAAGAAATGAATGTGAAGGAATTCTGGACCTCCACAAGGTGATCTTATTTTTCCTGGTGAAGCAAGACCTGAATCTTGGGGCTGGGCATTTAGCTCAGTGGCAACATGCCTGCCTCCTAAGCACAAGGTCTTGAGTTCGATCCCGGAACCGCAAATAAAAAAAAAGACCTGAATCTTCTGCTGAGAGTGAGCGGCTCAGGGTGGATTCAGGACTTGAGATGAGAAACAACACTCTCATGTTGCGGCTTTGGGTATGGCTATGTTTGCTGGGAGAGAATAAGAAAATTAGACAAGGCTAAAAATTGGATGATGATCATAGAGCCACTCATGATCCAGTTTTGGGGTTTTTTTGGTTTTGATGTTTGGGGGAGGGGGGATTCGTTTTTACTCCCAGTAACATATTCCACCTCAGGGATGGGAATGGAAGAAATGAAAGGCTGTACCAATCTTAGATAAGGCATTGGCTGGATTCACACGGAAGAATAAACAATGGGTAGTGATGAAAACTGCTTGAAATAATTGAGGACAGCTATGGAAAAAAAAAAAAAGCCCAGCCAGGCGTGGGTCTGGCCAACTTGGATAAACGGAAGGGACCGAGAAAAGGAAAAATTAGTGGAAGAAAGAAAGAGTTTTAGAATGGTGGTCATATAAGGGGATGGCTAAAGTGAGGTGAAAATACATCCTTCTCCTATCAGAAATTCTATCTTGGATCTTGTTAATCAGCAGTGATCTTGGGGTTCAAATTTTCCTGGTCTGTCTGGTCCTCCTGTCCAAGAAACTAGCTGCCACCATGACCTATCAGGCCTTGTATCTGACAATCATATCTCTAGTATCCTCTGACGCTCAGATCTCGATGAGCCTTCTATCTCTCCCACATGTTGGACCTATATTTATTATACTTTTGTACATCTGGGTAGGAAAATGTGGATTCTTAGTATAGTGTTGCTGGGGACATTAGTTCTATCGCCATGGAATTTTCTTCAGTCTCATCTCAAAACCAGACCATTTCTTCCTAGTGACAAGACCAGAAGAGAATTTTCTATGGCAGAATTTATTTTATACCAAGACAAAAGTTGTGTATGCTGAGTAAATGCTTTCCATGCAGAATGTGGCCTTAGGCAGCAGCAAGTGTTTAAACTTGGAGTTACACA